AAATGAAGAAGAAAATAATTATTTACACGTATAAACAGAACACAATTTTGTGTCCGTAGCACTGTGATGAATATTTTGATAGACTATAAAGAGTAATTATTATAAAAAGTATCTATTTGAGTAGCGAGTATGTCTTAGATCGTAATTAATTAATAACTGTACTAATGTCGTACGAGGAATGTAACCGAGCGTAATTTACTAACCGTACAGAATTACACACACCTTTCGCAGACACACGAGGGCGCTCATTATTGTCACCGTACCGAACGACAGTTCGTTTCCCTTTATTTTTCTACGCGCGTTGAAAACGAACTCAACTCGAGGATACCTCCGCTTCGGAAGATTCGATCGAACGTTACCTGAACCGTGCGCACACGAACAATTTCTTGTAACCAAACGTTCCACGATGATCAGTCGTGAATCGAACGGAAACGAAACGGGTCCCGGATTTTCCATGTCGCCCCGTTCGAGTCGAATCGGAGTGAACAAGGTTCAGGTGGTGGTCGTCAGCAAACCAAACACAATTTGTTCCGTGCGAAACGAATATACGATTGTCTCGTCGATACACGAAAGAACCGAGACGAGTAAATTCATTGAAAGGTGCAATTTGCGATTCACCAGGAGGATCGGTTTGTCTCTCGACTTGGGAAAACGACGAGGAACATCGACGAAGCGCCGTGTTTCGAGAACAAAACTTTCCGCGAGAGATTCACGGGTCGAACGGAACGATCGAAGGAATTGCGAGGATTTCGATTCGTTTTCAGGCACGAATCCAAACGTTGTTTCGTTGTCGCGAGCCGGAACGTTTCGCGGCGCGTGTATTGTACGGCAGGGAAAGCGTAGAGTGTGTAACCACTGCCATGCTGTATATACATACGTTGTAGCGTAGGTTCACCGTTGACTAAACGATCGAAGGGAATTTTAGCAATAGTCTTTCGCCTGATCGAGATCCCATTGACCAGAGGCGAGAAGCCTCGAACAGCTGGGCTATCCGTGTGAGAAACTTCGTAATCGCGCGTCGAGTTGCTTTCGATGAAACTTCGAGAACGTAGCTTTCTCTTTTCCGTATTTGACGCAAACATCTTGAACGCTGGATAAAACCGTCAACGAAATTCTCCTGTCAACGCGAAACGATCAATAATACGAGCATGTATACACACACAGAGAGACAGATACAAACACACGCATACACACTGTGAAACTCTTGGTAGCAGATATTTTTCCGGATTCAACGTTGAACGACAGTCGCTTTGATAGCTTTAAAGTCTACGCGCTATTTTAACCTGTTAGCCGCGAGCTTCTTCGATTAACGACGCAACGGAGAACGATCGGACACGATATCGAAGCGATATCGTTCCACGGTACGCGTGAGGCACGATACAATCTGTACGTCTGTAATTTGATAAATCGCGCACGATCGGGAACTGACGAAGTCGGATCGTCCATCACCGGTTAACAGGTTAACCTTCACACGGCGGGAAGATCGAGCAACACTTTATGCAATTCATTCTAGCGTACCTTTCGGGAGAATCGCGGATACTGCGAGGGGAGAACGATAATATTGTATTTTTGGAATCCTACAGTCGAGGGACGTCTCGTACCACGAAACCGTAGAAACGCGCACTAAGAACATTACTGTAATTATTATTCATTGTGATAAAGACTTTTATCGGGACGTAGAGGTTTGCGGATGATCCGGAAATTGTGTGCATTTTCTTGTTGTCGACGAAAATAAGGGCGGAAAGGGGTGGGTGACGAGTTGATTCGACCGGTGCCAAACTCGGGGGATGGAAGGAGGAGTTGAAGGAACGGCTCAACCAGCAATACTTTTAAATCAATCTCAACACAGCCTCGCGCGTGTGTATTCTTTGATTTTTTTCTTTTTGTTTTGTTTCTTTTTTAACGATTTTATCCTCAGGATTTCAGTGATTTTAATTTCCGTTTTAATCCGTAGCTCGTTCGACGATGCTTTTAAAGGGACAGAGAGAAAGTATAATTTCGTTTTTTAACCGTTGCACCGCAACTACTTCGAGGATTTTTGTTTTTACGTATCAGCGAATCGGCTATGACCTAATTTGTAAATTACCCGTCGATCGATCGGCATCGCGGTCCTCGGATCCGTCGATCGAGTCCGCGGGTAATTCGAATTCCACTCGTCAGCGCTGGTTATTACAAACGTTGCGTTGAGTCACCTGAGCACACTGATGAACGCCAGGCATTGTACATAGGGTAGCGTTATTTTATAAACAAAAATTCATTGTTACTGCTAAGACGTACTTTTTATTATTCAGCGAGCGAAGCGTGTCCGGTATGGGAGGAAGAGAGAGAGTGCGTGCGAGTGAATGAGTGAGAGAGTGAGAGAGTGAACGGGACCGTGAGAAAGAGAGATGGAGAGGAAGAGAACGAGCGAACGAGAGAGCAAGCGAGCGTGAAAGGAGGAGAGAAAGGAAGAGAGATATATTTGTGTCCAGAGATTCACTTATGGTACGCATGGCCAAACGTAATAAAAGTACAGCAATGCATTACAACTGCCACTGTGTGATTATTCGACGGAACAACAAAACAATTCTACGAGAACCCTATGAGTCATCCAACTGAATCATCGAATAATTGGAATCGGCAGTCGTCGGATCAGGTTCATCCTTGGGATAAGGTACGTAGTTCCACTATAAATTTTATTTAGGTTTCAGTAATGGAAATAAAGGTTGTACGTCGCATAATATTTATTAACAATGTGGTACAACAATTCACTCGTGCCACGCGCGCCAGTGTCCCTAACTCTCATAGTTGCAGCTAAGAAATGATCTTCTATACACACAATTCTCTGACCATTCTATAATTGCTTAATTATATACACTGAGAACGTACAGAATACACTCGCAACTGCATCGCGAATACCTCTC